CAAATCCTGCAAGGAAGTTCTTGTAGGGTGAAATAGATATTCATATGGGGTAATTTTTAATTTCTATTCGATTTAATCTATCTATCTATCTATCTATCTATCTATCTATCTATCTATCTATCTCTCTCTCTCTCTCTATATATATATATATATATATATATATATATATATATAGAGAGAGAGAGAGAGAGAGATAGAGAAAGAGAGAGAGAGAGAGAGACCTGTGTCAAAAAGTTAAATCAGCGAATTATAGTATTCTTCCAAACTCTTTCCTTTCTTTTCCCTTCATATCTCCTACTTCGAGTACGGTAAAATTGAAAGTGTTCGTTTATATTTTATCTATTTAGTATTGGGTTTATCTGCTTTTTCTTAGATTTAATGATTTTTATTACTTTTTGTACAAACTTGTGCACAAAGTACTGTTATAAAAGTTTAAATAGGCAACATAAATAAATTGGTATCAGGAACGGATTAATCCATTTTACATTTATTTCTACTGGAATAATAGTTTCGGTTTACGAACATTTCGGGTTACGAACGGGCTTCAGGAACGAATTAATTTTGTTAACCGAGATTCCATTGTATATATATATATATATATATATATATATATATATATATATATATATATATAATGAGAAAGGAGAGATCCATATTCAATCGATGACTTATAGACATAACTGCTTGTAAATATGAATTCGTATATACGGTGATTAAGGTTGATTGTACGATGGCCGAATCGTCTTAGCTGCTAGCGCCGGGCGAACAGTTACGACTAGATTCGAGCGTTCAGTCATGCGTTCATGTCCAAGTGGTCGAAATGTCACACACACAGTACTTCACAAGTAACACTTGATTGTCGGATCTACATCGGCAAGTTACAAAATGCCACCACGTCGAAAATTTCCCGGCCAATTCCAAGCAAGTGCTCCACCTCAGCGCCTCTCTCCTGCACAAAATACGACGCCTCATTTTGACATTTCGCAATTTCAGCCTCTGGCCGGTGTGGACGAGCGACTGACCATTCACAATTTACATTTATCATTCTCACTCTAGTTATCTTCGTATTCTTACTTTTATTCCATTTACTGACCTCTCTAAACATTTATCCCTCTTTTTTCACCATATATATATATATATATATATATATATATATATATATATATATATATATATATATATATATATATATATATATATATAAGCCTTTATGTGAGTGTGTGATTAGAAATATGATGCATTATCTTATTTTTACTACATTAGTTGTGTAAGATTTTATTTTGAAACTCGAGCCTTGTTCATCTTATTATAAATAACCTAATATAATTTTTGGCATTTTTTACTTTCAGATACACAAAGACCGCCATACGCCACCAGAATTCTATAATATCAAAATTAAAACCATGTTAATTTAATCTTATTGATTTACGCTGATTTCGGACAGAGATTACAGAACAGTGAAGAATTTGAAAACATCAAGACACAGGTAGTAAAAATTATATATGACCTAATCTGTTATTTGAGACAAATCAAAAGAGTAACATCAGAATATATATATATATATATATATATATATATATATATATAGATAGATAGAGAGAGAGAGAGAGAGAGAAAGAGAGAGAGAGATGGAAAGAGAGAGAAAGAGATATAGAAATAGGGACAGAGAGCAAAAGTGATAGACCATTTTTCGCCATACCTTATGCAACATCCATTCTTATTGGCTAGTCTATTTTTCTTAATCATTACATCATTCTGTCTCACTCCTTTTCTCCATCTTTAATTTAACACCCTAAACTCTAGACATTCTTTTACATTTTTGTAACCCATCGCTTAATTCCTTCTTTCAATTACTTCCTCATTTTTTTACTTACTTTATTTCCTTTAGGTTTTCATTGCAAAATATATATCTGAGAACTTGGTCAGATGGGCATAAAGCCAAACACAATTCTCTCTCTCTCTCTCTCTCTCTATATATATATATATATATATATATATATATATATATATATATATATAACATTTTCTGATTTTAATAGTTGGTAAGCCATAAAAACGAAACAGTCAATATGTGTATGGCCTGTATATAATATCATGTACAAGTACGATCATTTTTACTTTCTGACTCAATACACACTCGATTTAAATGCAATTCATGATAATAATGATAATAATAATGTTAATAATAATGATGATAAATCAATAAAACAATATTGGGAGAGTGAAAACCAGGGAAAAAAAACTTATCGATAGCAAAGGCGTTCTACAATGTATCACACTCATGGATAGAGAAGAAACTAAAAATATACTGAGTATGACCCACAATGGTCAAATACATAAAGGAGAGCATGAAAAACTAGAAGACTGGACTAAACCTAACCCATAAAAACGGATCATTAACATCGCTACCAATCAACATCAAAAGCAGTATCTTCCCAGGAAAGAGCAACCTGAAGTCTATAGCCATGATTGGCAATCAGTATAGAAGAAAGCCTGAAAC